AACCCCTGCAAACCCTAAACTCTAAACCCTAAGCCCCAAACCCTAAAACCCTAAAACCCTAAACCATAAACCCTCATAGTATCCCTGACAGAACCCTTTAAGGAGCCCTTTAAAGGAACCCTAAGCCCAAAGCCCAAAGCCCTAAAGCCCTAAACCCTACAACCCTAAACTCTAAGACCTAAACCCTAAACCCCTATAGTAGTTTATAGAACCCTTTAAGGAAGCCCTAAACCCTAAACCCTAAACCCTAAACCCTAAACCCCCAAAACCCAAAGCCCTACGAAGCGATCCGAGCGTTAAGGTTGGCTTTGCAGCGACTCCGTGAAGCTGCCGAGGTCACCGGGGGCGCGGTGAGGGCTTCGGGGTTTAGGGCTCCTTTTCAAGGGTTCCTTAACGGTTTAGGGTTTCGGGGTTTCGGGGTTTCGGGGTTTAGGGTTTAGGGTTTAGGGTTTAGGGTTTAGGGTTTAGGGTTTAGGGTTTAGGGTTTAGGGTAAGGGTCTAGGGTTGAGGGGTTTAGGGGTTTCGGGTTGAGGATTTCGGGGTTTAGGGTTTAGGGGTTTAGGGGTTCGGGGTTTAGGATGTAGGGTTTAGGGTTTAGGGTTCCTTTAAAGGGTTCCTTGAAGGGTTCTGTAAGGGCTACTATGAGGGTTTAGGGTTGAGGGGTTTAGGGGTTTCGGGTTGATGATTTAGGGTTTTTTGGTCAAGCGGTTAAGGGGTTCAGGGTTTTCGGGGTTTTGGGTTGAGGATTTAGGGGTTTAAGGCTTTGGGGGTTTAGGGTTTAAGGTTAGTGGGGTTTAGGTTTAGGGGTTGAGGGTTGGATGTCGGGGTGTAGGGTTTAAGGCTTTGGGGATTAAGGGTTGAGGGATTGAGGATTTAGAGGTTTGGGGTTTAGGGGTTCAGGGTTTAGGGCTTAAGTTGTTGATGTTTCGGGGGTTTAAGGTTTAGGGTGTTTTTGTGCTAGTGCCCTACGCGCTTTCGTCTAGTGCGCGTCGGCGCTCGCTCAAACGAACTCTTCAGGTCTCGGTTTATTGTGGCGTACAGGGCTTTGGGTATTGGATTTATGGGCAGAGGATTTAGATTTTGGGTTTAGGGTTCAGGGTTTAGGGCTTTGGGCTTCGGGTTGAGGGCTTAGGGTTTTGGGTTTAGGCACATTGGGTTTAGGTGTAGGGTTGAGGGTTGAGGGTTGGTTTTAGGGTTGAACTCTGTTACGGTTTAGGGGGATTCAGGGTTGTTGATGGCGCGCTTTTGCCTCGGGGTTTGGGTGCTTATGAGATTATACAAACCCTAAGATCTTGTTCTGAAAGCATGGGCCCTGCAAGCAGTACGAAATGGTAGGTCCCTGAATAATCTTGAAGAATAATATATGTGTTTCGATTGACAGATATGGTTTGGATCAGTCTGTGGGGTCTCCCAAGTGGGAGCTTCCGAAAATTAGGGCTAGGGGACCTTATTTTGGGCTCCTCACAATAAGGATCCTATTATTTGGGCTACTATAGAAGGGTCCCCTAAACCCTAAACCCTAAACCCTTGTCTTCAGGGTCTCAAAGATCTTAGGAGCCTTAAAGGGAACCCGAAATCTTAAACCTTACTTGGAGGATCAGCGACTTAGTAAGTGGGGTTCTGAGTAAGGTATCTATACTTCTACATACTTATGACCCTTAGTAAGGTACTCAGAGCTCCACTTCCTAAGTCCCCTGAACCTCAAAGTAGGAGAATAGAGAAGACATCTGCTGCACACTCTGCTTGGATCCTGACACGCCTGCCTTTGGTGCCTAAACCCTAAACCCTAAACCCTAAACCCTAAACCCTAAAACCCTAAATCCTGACACGCCTGCCTTTGGTGGAACATGCCTTTGCATTTTTTGGTGGGGGTTTGGTTTAGGAGATGAGGGTTCAGGTTGAGGGTTTAGGTTTACCTATAGGCCCCATAGTAGCTCCTTTTGGTGGCTTATATTTAGGATCCTATTAGGGAATCCTAAAAAGGAACTACTATGGGGCCCATGGGTAAGGTCTCGGTTTAGACCTATAGGTTTGCTTAAGGATGTCAGTTTAAAGTTGAAGTAAGATTAAAACGACCATCAGAAAGCTGAGTTCGCTGCCGATGCTGACGAGGTGCGTGCCAAGCGGCGGCGCTGAAAAATGTGCTCCTGCGTGTTGTTCGACGCCGCCTGCCCGGATGGATACGACAATCCGTGGGCGGTTCGAGCTGGCTACAGCCTCTGGTCGGTGTACTTGTCGACGTGCCACTTCTGGTACAACAATCACATGCGACGTGCATTGCGGTTCTCGGCGTTCGCCACTTTCCTGAACCGGGCTTGGGAATAGTGTTTCGGATTTTCGTGATCATGGTGGTGAGGAAGCCAAACATGATGCGACCGCGGTGGTGAGGCTGCCAAGGATATGACTTATCGACCGTGATGACAATGAGGAGTGCGAGGTGGATGACGAGACTCGTGATGCACAGATCGGGCGTTCACAGTTACCCAGATGAAAACTTTAAAACGGCTACCATGATGATATCGGCCCCTAGACCCTAAACCCTAAACCCTAAACCCTAGACCCTAAACCCTAAACCCTAAACCCTAAACCCTAAACCCTATAAGCCCTAGAGGCTCCTCAACCTTGAATGCGACACCATGCGCTCCGGAGACTGTGACTCCAAAACTTGTGAAGCTTTACGTAAGCTTTGAAAATCCTTAAACCTCTACACCACGAAACCCGGTTCCCATCCAATATAGGGACCTTAATAGTTCCCTATCTTATTTTGGGGTATTCCTTATTATATTTATATTATATATTATACTATACCCCCAAACCGTTATTCCGGCCCCTACATTAGATAAGACTCTCTTTGTCACAGGTTGCTAAGGTGGAGCTCTCCAGCAAGGCCTTTCCTGGCTTCTGGGTTTTAGGGTTTAGTTTTCAATGGTTTTAGTAATCAGGGTTTACAAAACTAGAAAATAACATTTTTGCACAAAGCCCTAAACTTCAACTAGACTTACAATGCCTCAAATATCTTAGAACCCTAAACCCAAAACCCAAAACCCTAAACCCGAATCAAGGGTCAGCTTGGGGTCTTGTTGTAGTAAGGCATGTTTGCTAAGAGTTCCGGGCTCTGGCTTTAGACCCGAAAAACATAGCTTAATGAGGACCTGTGTACAAAGGAAGTCATGGTTCAGAAGAACCCTGAGGGTTTTTGTTTTGGGGTTTAGGGTTTAGGATTTAGGATTTAGGGTTTAGGGGTTCGGGTTTAGGGTTTACGGTTTAGGGTAAGTTTAGGACTCACACGTGTTTTTGGTAGGGAAATCTATGTGTGCTCGATGCTGTGGCAGGTCCGGGCTTTTGAACCGCACTGCAAGTAGACCCTAAACGCATAAAGCAGAAAAACACATGCACGACCGGTCAGCACTACTTATAGCCTCATGGGATTATAAGTACTGCAATTAGGATTAATAACATCACTTATAGACTTAGAACCCTTCTTACTACATCCCCTGATCCTTCCAGTAGAGCCCACACTGTCCCGGATATCTTGCCGAGCCATGTGCACCAGTTGGTGCTGCAAGTGGCTAGACACAGCCATCCCCCATGTTGAATGCATAGCCAACCCTTCTACAATCTATGTTTTGTATGTGGTTACACTGTCTGTTGAATCCCTATAATTGATAGGCCTGGGTTTCTACGTTTTGGAGCTTTTTTGGGCCCTGGAAAATTAAGACCTACAGGGGTGATGTTCCGTGACACAGGGTCCGCGGCCAACAAGGGTCTAGCGTTTCGGACGCTTACAATAAGCAGATGGAAAAGTGTCTTCAAAAAAAAGAACGGAACCCCTAAAACTCTAAACCCATCCACACCTGAACCCCTAACCCCCTACACCCCGAAACCCCGAAACCCTGAATCCTACACCGTAAAACCTTATCCCCCTAAACCGTAAACCCTAAACCCTAAACCCTAAACCCCTAAAACCCTAAACCCTAGACCCTAATCCGTTACCTCAGAGAGGTGCAGACCGATGTCAACCTCCCCTTCATCACGGCGGACCAGAGCCGCTTGAAAAGCAAAGTTTCTGGCTCTCCTTTCGCGATCCCAAGAAGGATCCTTTAGAGGACCCCTGAAAGGAGCCCGTAAGGGAATTGAGGGTTCAGGGTTTTAGGGTTTAGGGTTTAGAGGTTGAGGGCTTTAGGGTTTAGGGTCTAGGGTTTAGGGTTCAGGGTTTCGGGGTTTAGGGTTTAGGGTTTAGAAGTTGAGGGTTTAGGGTTTAGGGGTTGAGGGTTTGAGGGTTTAGGGTCTAGGGGTTGAGGGTTTTAGGGTTTAGGGTCTAAGGATTTAGAGTTTAGGGTTTAGGGTTGAGGGTTTCGGGCTCAAGGGGTTGAGGTTGAAGTTTGCGGGTCACCGTGTAGCGGGGTTCCTTTCTTGGCCTTTCGGAGCATTGCAATACCTGGGCCCCAAAGACACCTTTTCAGGGTTCAAAGTTATGAGTTATGATTTCACTATATAAGTCAAGTCCTTATTTTTAAGGTTTACTCTTCTTCAGGGTCCAGGTAATGTAGGGGCCTTTATAATTAGAAGAGGGTTTTGGGGTATATTATACTATAGTTATAATAGTGAACCCCCTAAAATACTATTCTAATTGAACCCTAAGCCCTAAACCCTGGTGATTATTTAGGCTTCTATAGAAAGGGCTTCAAGACAGAGATCCTAAGCAAGAGACCTTAGACTTGGGGGTTTATGACTCGGAGGTTTATGGTTTAGGGGTTTAGAGTTTAGGGGTTAAGGGCTTGAGGCTTCAAGGGTAGTTTGGGGGTTTAGGATGTAGTTTGGATTTTGGGGGGGTTTAGGGGGTAGTTTGGGTTCGGGGGGTTCAGCGGGCAGTCTTTGTTTTGGGGGTTTAGGGGTAGTTTGGGCTTGGACCAGCGAAGCTGGGTTTATAAACGGGATGTTTTTTTTGCGCAGAGGTCCTTGAAGCTCTATACCCTAAGCCCAAACCCTAAAACGGTAAACCTCCAAGCGAGGTTTTGTAGCATTCCAAAGTTTGCTTAAGACCTACGGAGGCTCGGGAGGCTGTTAGGGACGCGGTTGATGGGCACGCTAAGGCTCAAAATCGCCCAGAAAGCCTATATTACAGTATGGTCGTTGGGCCCAAAAGCCTTAGAATATGAGTCCGTAGTACCCTAAACCCTAAACCCTAAACCCAAACTGTTCCTTAGGGTTTATGCTGGCTCTAAGAGGCTTACAGTTTTCAAGGCCCCCGTTTCAGGAAGGATTTAGGCTCCGTCAACTACCGAACCTAAAGGATCGTACCCTAAGGGTTTAGGGTTACGGGTCCAAGTACCTAATAATCATATTCTCTCCCAAATATTAAGTTAACCTAGATAACTACTAAACGTAACCAAAGTACCTAGTTATTGGGTCCTTTGGACCCTTAGGGTTAACACTTTGGGGACATTGAGAAACCTATGGTAAACCCCAAACATTGGAAACGGATTAAAGACAACTCGAGCTGGGATTCCCTATACATTACTCTTAACGGATTGAGGCTATGGGGTTTCCAACTTTTGGGCTTCTACCGTAAACCCTCTTACCCAAAAGCTAGGTATCATTGATGGGTTTCGCTGTCTTTTCGTTGGCGGGTTTAGGGTTTAGGGGCCCTTGAAGAGCCCAACGGTTCTTGACTCGGAGTTTTGAAGTTCCCAAACAGTTCAAAAGCTTCCTTGTGGCCCTTAAACCCTATTAACCCTAAACCCGAAACCCTAACCCTAAACCCCTAAACCCCCAAACCGAAAAGGCCAGTGCACTCTAAAAGAAAAACCCTAAACCCTATAAACCCTACACCCCTAAATCCGAAACCCGAAACCGTGCGGCCTTGACTGAGGAGCTTTCGAGAATCCTTAGGGTTCAGGGCTTAGGGCTTTTTCGGGCTTGTAGGGTGCAGCGTTTTGTTTTTCTTAGGGTTTTTATGTTTGTTTAGGGTGTTTTTTGGGGGGTTTGCTCAGGGCATTTATAGGGTTTTTAGGGTTTGAGGCTCTTTGGGGGTTTCAGGGCTTTTAGGGGTTCGGGTTTGGGGCTTTCAGGGTTTGAGGAGGTTGAGCGCCCAGGCGGTCCGAAGCACATGAACATCCAAATGACGCGATCGATCCTGGGATTGCTTTCAGGCCTGTTTCCGTGCCGTAGTGGCCTTAATCAACAGGGTTTAGGGTTCAGGGTTTAGGGTTTCGGATTTAGGGCTTCAGGGTTTTGGGGTTTAGTGTTGTTTAGGGCTCAGGATTTGGGGTTTAATGGCCGAGAGACCACCCCCCCAACTACCCTCTATTATGCCCCAGATACCTTCTATTGAAGGCCATAAGAGCTTCATTTAAGCTTACTTGGGGGATCCTAGTAGGGGCTCAAACCTAAACCCTAAACCTTAAACAAAAAACCTAATCCCTAAACCTTAAAACTAAGCCTGAAACCCTGAAGCTTAAACCCTGAACTTTAAACCCTAAAAACCTTAAACCCTAAATCTTGAACCCTGAACCTTAAACCCCTAAAAGCCTTAAACCCCAAAATCCTTAAACCCTAAAAACCTTAAACCCTAAACCTTAAACCCTGAACCTTAAACCCTAAACCCTAAACCTTAAACCCTAAACCCTAAGCTTCAAACCCTAAGCCCTACAGACATTAAGCTTTGAACCTTAAACCCTAAACCTTAAACCCTAAACCTTAAACCTTAAGCCCTAAACCTTAAACCCTAAACCTTAAACCCTAAACCTTAAACCCTAAACCTTAATCCCTAAACTTTAAAGCCTAAGCCGTAGACATCAAGCCCTGGACCCGACGCCCTGGACCCTAAACCCTTCGGGTTTAAGCTGGGTTGTGGTTTAGCGTTTAGGGTTTAGGTTGTCAGGCTTAGGGTTTATAGGAGTTCAGGGTTAGGGTTCAGGGCTTTGGGCTTCGGGCTTTGCGTTTATGGGGTTTCAGGGCTTAGGTTTGGGGCCAGGGATCATAGGATTTCAGGGCTTAGGGTTTTGGGCTTAGGGTGATGGGTTCAAGGCTTCGGGTGTATGGTTTAGGACTGAGGGTTGAGGGTAGTTCATTGGGCCGGCCTATGGTGTTAAAACGATTCTTTCAGGCTCAGGGGCAGGCTTGATAAGATCTTCATTCCACATATAGCCTTGAGGGTTTAGGGTGTAGGGCTTAGGGGTTTAGGGTTTATAATAACAGTGTTTAGGGTTTAGGGTCATACAAACAAGCATACATGCAGACGTTATATGGGTAGTTCTCTAAATTGGGGTCCTTTTGGGGGGTCCTTCGTATAAGGGTGCCGTACTATAACGGAACTACCCATATGTCATGCCACTCAGCATTGGGGCGGATGTACGGGTGTGCATAGCGTCTCAGGATGGAGTGTTGTGCGGATGCAGGGTTTGGGGTTTAGGGTTTAGGGTTTAGGGTTCCGATTTGTTTACAGTATCACATGTCCCTAAAGCTCAAAATAGCCCGAAAGCCCTAGATAGTTTGGTCTTTTGGCCCAAAGGCCGTAGAATATGTGTTTAGAGCCTGAGGGTTTGTCATTTGAGCACCAAAGGTTCAAGTGTTGGCCATGTAGTTACCTGAAACTGTAGACGGCTGCGTCATTTCACCCAAGGTGCGCTACCATGCACACCCCTGATCAAGAACCACTCCTCTTAGGGTTTAGGGTTTAGGGTTTAGGGTTTAGGGTTTAGGGTTTAGGGTTTGGGGTTTGGGGTTTAGGGTTTAGGGTTTAGGGTTTGGAGAACCCTTATAGAGACCCTACAGATCCCTTATGCCTGATGTTAAGGTCTTCATTGCGGTGCGGGGATGTCCGCTAAGCTAAGGACTCAAAAGGGTTGAAAAGGCGGGTGTCATGTGTTGGTGTTTGTTAATTAGGGGTTTAGGGTTCTGTTTTGGATAGTATAGTCGTCTACTTCTCAACGATGGCTGCAGCAGGATCCAAAGAGACGTACCCCGGGCAAAGAGGCTCGACTAGATCCTCTGGCCGGTTCTCCATAAGCACGGACGTGCTCATTCCGCTCCTTCTGGCTCTACGCAAGCCCGCGAAAGAGCAAATAATTCCACCCTAAACCCTAAACCCTAAACCCTAAATCCTAAACCCTAAACCCTAAACCCTAAATCCTAAACCCTAAACCCTAAATCCTAAACCCTAAACCCTAAAGAAAGAAGCCTTTCAAGGACATCTTCTGGGGCCAGCCTTGGCTGAGATCCATTTTCCACATGAAAGACACCATTGCTCCAACTTCGCCATGAAAGCTCGAAGGCTTACAGGAAAAGCCAGAAAGTTGGAACATAATTCAGGAACTTCCAAGGTGGGGAGGGGAAGCTCGACGGCCCTTCATTGAATAAGGGTTTAGGGTTTAGGGTTTTGGGTTTAGGGTTTAGGGTTTAGGGAATCCCAGCACTAATCATCCTAAACCCATGTTCCAACTTTCTGAGGTTGACTTTACAGTCATTCTCTGTGGCATCTTGATGCTTCTTAGTGCAGGCAGCCCACAACCCTAAACCCTAAACCTTA